GTGTGTGTGTGTGTGTGTGTGTGTGTGTAGGAGTGTGTATGTTTCCCTAACTAGTTCCTTAAAGGGCCTAGATAAGAACACCACAATAAAAATAAACATAGTGACCAGAGATTATATTTTTAAAATTATTCTCCACTAAAATAATCCTGAGTTAGAGGGAGAAATGACTCTGGGGCTGAGTAGGAGAGGAAGATGGGCCTAGAACATCTTGTTATATGAGAAAGTGAGGAAGTGATCAAAAAATTATGTAGGCCTGTTACAAGGACACAGGAGCCAGCTTGAGTGGGCTCCTGCTGGCAAAATCTGGGTCATTCTGAGCAGCAAATAATTAAGGATAATAATGAACTATAAACTTAGAAAAATATAGGGAAACAGCTGGATAAATGGGAGGAGGGGAGAAGACCTCTTGTCTAACTAACTGTAAAAACCAGTGAGTACAGACTAAGCCATGATTTTGCCATTATCATAATAAAGATTGGTACAGGTAAAAATTAAATCCAGAGGGAAAATTTGATGACAAGTAGCACAATTGCATGATCTTAAAGCGTTTCCCTATTGAGTAGTTATTAGTTGCAAAGAAAATGTATCAACCACAGAGTAAAAAATCTGATGACTTCTTGACCCAGTGAGCAAAATTGTCATCACTAATAAGGAACAGATGCACATCATCTGTCTCTAGATGCAATTCCTGAGCCGTGTGCAAGACGTAACATCACTTAGTGATTCTTTTCAGTCCAGAATACATAGTCTAAGTCTAAACATGAGGAGAAATATTAGAGAAACCAAAAATAAGGGAAATAGTACTTTAAAAAGATGAATTCTTTAAAATTCCCATATAAAAATAAAGAAAAAAGTAATAGATTAATAAGACAAACTCATAAAAACTAAATGCAAAATTTGATGGCAGGTTGGATTTTATACATGAGAAAAAACAATTCTATAATGAACATTGAGACTCAATTAACAGAATTGAAGTACTTGTGGTCAACTATTCTATCAATGTTAAATGTATTGAAATTGATAACTTCAAAAAATCCATAATCTTAGTAAATATTCACTAAGTATTTAGGGCTAAAGAATCACACACACACACAAAGTTGAAATGCATTTCTTATTTCTCTGTCTCTCTCTATATATAGACTATACACACACACACACACACACACACACACACACACAGAGATACCCCTCAGGTTCCAAGAGTGCTAATAATTGAGATATTGAAAGCAAGGTCAAAGGTTCTTAGGGGAAAATTATTAAAACATTTTTCTTATCAGTGAAGGATAAAAATCTTAGGTAAATGTAAGTATATTAAGAAGAAAATGAGCAATATTATGATATGAGCCCTCAAAATTTATAAACATAAAACTTTATAAAATAATGCAGATTTCATAGTGTCATACTCAGAGATCTGGGCTAGTGCTGGTGCTGGTTGTAAATGAACAACACTTTGAGAAGCACTTTTATAAATTCAAATAGATGTGCTTCTCATATCACGATGATGGACAAATAGCCAATTAGTCATATTACAACAATCTCTTGAGGATTTTTTTTTTTTTAAGCTTCTTTTGTCTGATACATGGTTGTATCAGTATTCAGTTGAAAATGGATCTCCATTTTCAGTGGTTAGAAATGGATGTTAAAAATAACTACTTTATAGTTGCCCATATCTTTGGGTACTGTCAGCATAATAAATGGCTTAAAATAAATGGCTATATTATTAAAAACAGCATAAAGATTCAATACAATCCCTATCACAATCCCAAAGGAATTTTTCCATAGAAATTAAAAAAAGACATGAAATTTATTTGGAACTCCAAGAGACTCTAAATAACAAAAACTCCCTTATTCAAAAAGAACAATAATGGAGACCACATGATCTCCAACTTCAAACCATAACTACCAAGCAGTAGTACTTAAAACAGTTTGGTAATGGAATGAAAACAGACATACAGATCAATGGGCTGAACGGAGAGCCCAGAATTAAAATCATTCACATATGGACAATTATGAAAAAGGAGTCAAGAGCATACAGTGGAACAAGGAAAATTTCTTCAATAACTGGGGTTAGGAAACTGGACAGCCACATGCAAAAGAATGAAAGTGACCACTATTTCCCACCATACACCAATGAATCAAAGATTTGGGTTCACAGCCAGTAACCATAAAAAGAAGAAAATGTAAGTTAGTGATATGTTCCTTGATGTCAGATTTAGAGATGTGTCTGGAGACTCTGCTCCAATGGCAGGGAAACAAAAGTAAAAATAAACGAGTGACAACATCAAACTAAAAGTCTTCTGCACAACAAAAGAAATGTGCATCAAAATAAAAAGACATGTTAGTGAATGGAAGGAAATATTTGCACAATATACATCTGACAAAGGGTTAATATCTAAAATACATAAAAAATTCATGCAACTTAACAACAACAACAACAAAACTAAACAATCCGATTAAAAAATGGGCAAAGGATCTGAATAAATACTTCTCTGGATGACCAGTAGTCACAGGAAAAGATGTTCACCATGTCTTATTATTAGAGAAATAAATCAAAACAAACCTGAGCTATCAACTCACATCTATGAGAATGGCTATTATTCAAAAGTGCAGGAGATGATGTGAAGAGAAGGTAAACTGTATGCTTTTGATGAGAATTTAAATTGATGCAGTCATTATGGCAAGCAGTGTAGGGATGCCTAAAAATTAATAGAAATTCCATTTGATCCAGTTACCCCATTTAAGATATTTAACCAAAAAATACACAACAATTATTCAAAGGTAGATGCAAACCATGTTTATTGCAGCAATATTTACAACAGCCAAGAACTGAAAATAACCTAAGTGTTCATCAGCAGATGAACAGATGAAGAGCATGTGCTATATATACACAATGGAATACTATTCAACAATAAAAATAATGAATATTTGGCATTTGCAACAATGTTGATGGACCTAATGGTAATAATTCTTAGTTAAATAAGCTATACAGAAAAAACACATGTACAGTATCATTTTAATTATATAGAGAAAAGAAATAGAAATAATTATATAGAGAAAAGAAATAAATAAACCCAAAATGAAACTTTATACCAAATAGTTATTACCAAAGAGCAAGGGGAGTAGATAAATCATAGAAATGGTGTAGAATAGAACATGATTTTAGAGGTGAACTTAAAATACTATTTCAGATGTTGATTTGTAATGATGTGCAACTGAATATGACATAATTTTACAATGCATTATTATATCAATGTACAAAACAAGAAAAACATTAAAGGTTCAATAAGATGGACTCAGGAGTTAAGTGGAGTCAGTTCAATTCACCTGAACATCCTTCTCCACTCCATTCATGTAAACTCTCAGATAATAGTTACAAATTACATATGTTTGCATTAATATCCGGTTTCAGAAATACATTTTTTTAAAGACACACACACACACAAAGAAAGGAAATAAGACAAATAGAGAAGAGAGGAGAGGAAGTTGAAAGAAAGAGCTAATCCAACCTTGAGGCACACAGAGGGGAGGAGAGGGAGGGGAGAAGACGGGAGGCAGAGAAAAGGTTTCTCCCTGCTTCTTTAAATTCTAATCCATAAATGCATATAGCAGAAGAGTTAAACTCTCTGGGCACCTCTGTTTCAACTGTGCCATGCACTGGTGATTTTACTCAATAACATATCCTGAACCTCTTTATGAGGTAATAGATTTAACTCTGTTTTACTCTATTAAAAGTCTACTTGGTATTGGGGGGCCTCCCCAGTGGCGCAAGGGGTTAAGAAGCAGCCTATGGGGCTGTCCGCAGCCACGGCAGCAGGAGTTCGATCCCCAGCAGGAAGCTACCCACATGGCACAACAGACCTCTCCTGACTCGCCCACTGCTCCCCTCAGCAGTGTATTTCAGTCCATCTGCCTGTTCTGTTCCCCACTCTGTCTCTGGTGAATCCTCTCACCACCCCCAACCTCTGGCCTGTACCCCAGCTCTTGTATGTATGGATGAATGGATCTTTAAAAAAAAAAAGTCTACTTGGTATTGGGAGAACTGTCATTTCTTTAGATCATTTTTGATTATTTTTAATGACCAAACACATATAGTGGCCAGCTAGCTCCTGCTCTCCTGAATGGGCTTGATGACCCCTGATCTTACTTCTTCCACACCCACTCTATGTCCAAGGGTACCCCTCAGAACCCCCAGAGTGCCCCAGATACATTTCTTCCATTACCCTCTTGGCCAAAGAGACTTGGAGGCAACCTGTCAGGGCAGAGCAGCAGTGCATGGACAAGATGCTCTGAACCAGGCTCTGTCAGAGATACTGAATGAGGTTTAATGGGCTAGAAGGTGGCAAATTAAGCTGAAAAAATGAAATGCCCCCTTCTCCAGAGGTCACTTCTGATGCCACCGTGGGAGGCAAGAGTGGAAGATGGCAGGGCCACATGATGAAAGAGGCCCAGCTCCCTGTGACACCCCAAAGCACTTATGCCCTCCAGGAATACTTGGACTGAATGCAGACATGCGGCTCACAGAATCCATGAAATTTTAAACCCCTGCCAGTTCCCACTGATTTCTCTTTAGTTATTAGTATTATACTCTTGGTGTCTCTTAGTTGAAACTTTTGTGGGGACCCTTCACCTATGCCCCTCCCTACCCACACTGTAGAGAGGGAGTCTCAAAGTTGGGGAGTTCCTCACCTTTGTGTCAGGACGAGGCTTTCCTACAGCAGGAAGAAATTAAATCAGGAAAATGAGCCTCATCTGGGAAAAGAACCCAACTTCTCTGCCCTGACTTGTTCTGTTCAAAGAGACATAGTGTGGGTTTGATGCTCAGGTTTGCTGAAGGACCTAGGGTGGCCTAACTGCCTCCGCTGTCAGCCTTTTCACTGCCACCAGCCTGGAAAATCAGACATTTCCCACCTTCACAACAAAGTGGCATCTGCTTTCTAGAACTTGGCTGGCCTCCATGCCCCAGCCTAACTGATCTGTCTGGTTGTTGAGCACCTGTTTACCTTAGAGGCAGAACATTGCAGGGTTCTGAGTAGTCCATCGTGGTCCATAGGAGGCACAGCTGTGGTGCCTAACACAGCCATGAAGGCCTCCCAGAATCCACTTGCTGGCTGATCCTGGAGGACCTGTGGGGAACTCTGCTGGTGACAGTTGAGAACCTGAGATAAATCCTGGGTGTTCCGAGGTTTCCATGGTATCTCCCGGTATGTCCGGCAGTGGTGTTTTTGATAGGAGTAAAAGCACACTCTTTAAGAAGAATGAAAGTACTCTGTCCTTGATGAAGTCTATGGACAATGTAGCAAGGGTACTGGGCCAATGACACAAGTCCAAGGCAACATCCAGCCACCTGAGATGGAGGCTAGCCCTTCCACATTAAAAATCTTGTGTTGGTCACAAGATCTCAATGTGTCCCTTCAAATTCCTGAAGAGGAAAAAATCAAGAAATAGCCTTACAGTTGTGTGAAGAAAAGCAAGAGATTAAAGAATTTGCAGCAGAAATAACAAGTCTCCAACTTGAGAAAGCATCTTTGCAACATGAAAATTCACAACTTGTAAGTGAGATTCAGCAGCTGATGATAAAGCTTCAAAGTCTGCCTGATACAGAGAATGAATATGTCATACATCTTCACAGAAAATTGTTTGAGGAGGAAAAATCGCTGCTTAGAAAACAAGAGGAAACTTCACAAGGTATGAAGACATCCACATACCAATCTCTCCAAGTAGAGATCCGAAATCCTAGACAAAAATTAGAGTCACTCACTACCATCAAAAAGAGTTCTTCCAAGGAAAAGAAGATCAAGAGAAATAGATGGCAGCTGTGTTGAATGAGAAAAAGCTAAAGAATCTAAGAAAAGAAAAATGATCACAGTAAGCAAATTCTGGCCAATATCAAGTCCTATTGCCAGTCTCTCCGAAGGGGCCTTTTGCTCTCCTGTTTCAGTCAGAGCCCATGGAGGTCTGGAGGCATTAAGGAGTCTGCTGCATCATCAGGCCCTCTGGGAAGGAGGAGGGTCATACAGTGAGGGTCCTGACATGCGGGGTCATTTGTAAGTTTCCATGGCAACTGGGTCATGAAACCCCCACAACATCTGTATGTCTTATCTCAAAGTAATTTTGATTTATTTCTTAGTTTAGTTACTGCTAATTGACTTTTCATTCAAGAGGATAAAAGTTTAGAGTTAAGATTTTTTTTGTTGCAAATACTTTTTCATTTAATACAAAAAATAAAAGGATCACTTTAAAATTTAAAATGATTGTGTGTCCACCCTATGTCAAGATTGCCATGCATTTTTTTCATTTAATATTCTCAATATGCCTGTAAGTCACAATATTATTATCCTCAAATGAATTAGCTTCTTGGGGATGATATAACAAAATGATCACAAATTGGGTGACCTAAAGCAACAGAAATTTATTGTTACCCTTCGGGATGACAGAATTTCAAAATCATGGTGTTGCTATGTGCATACGCTTGAAACATACAATGCTGTAATGCGATGGTAGTTCAATTTAAAAAAATTAAAGAAAAGGTATAGGAATAAGGGAGAATGAGAAAGTTTCCTTGGAGACTGAGCATTATCAAAAAAGAATTGTTTAGCTTATTCATTTATTTTCATTTACAATGGGTGAGGGTTTTAAAGATAGGAGACATTAGTAGGTTTGAATATCTGGAGAATATTGCACTGCTATATTGAGCAATTTCTTATGAACTGGGGTGAACTATGTTAGTTTTTGGATTTGGTGGAGTATTTGGATATGTCTAACCAGGTATGAAGTTCCAGAAAGATTTCTATAGAGAAGTACCTTTATTTTGGAATCAGACATTAAAAAGACATTTGAAAAGATTGCCCAGAGTGAAGTTCCATAGCAAAACAGAACAGTAAATCTATATTTAAATTATGGATATAAAAGGAGAAGATAATCAATATTATAAATTCATGGTCTCGTCAGACATCTATGAGTCAAGACATGGAAGTCCAATGTCATGGAGAAGAGAGAATTTATACTAAATTCTTTTTTTTTTAATGATTATATTCACTTTCTTTTTTAAAAAAAGATTTATTTATTTATACAAGAACCGGGGTACAGGCCAGATGTGCAGGAGAATGAAAGGATTCACCAGAGACAGAGCGGGGAACGGAACAGGCAGATTGATGAAATACACTGCTGAGGGGAGCAGCAGGCGAGACAGGAGAGGTCTGCTGCACCATGTGGGACACTCGCTGGCAGGCAGAGATCGAACCCACGCAGCAGAAGCTGCGACAGCTTCACAGTGTGGCGCTCAACCCCCTGTGTCACCAGGGAGGCCCTATATTAAATTCTTAATGCTGTAAGATTACACAGAATCTGGCATGTCTGTCTGATTTACTTTCTTTTCATTATCCATAAAATAACAGTACTTATTTAGTACTGTTCTAGAACATAGAAACTATGTTCAATGAGGTAATGCATGTAAAGTACTTAGCATATTGTTAGCATTAATGTAAATTTCTATATACATGGCTTTCATACTCTGAAAAGTGTTTTTTGTAAATCTTCTCTATATTCTTTCATATACATGCTATGCTAGTTTCCTATGCTCCTATTTATGGTTTCTGATGGTTCCTTATGTATTATTTCATTCAGTTTCACAATAAATATATAGAGTAGGCATGATCATTCCTAAATATTAAAAAGAGAACTATAATTTATCTTGACAAGCATATGGCAATCACCTCTAATTAGTATATTCAAGGGAAATATCTGAGTTCTGGTCTAATTTGGACTTTTCTTCCAATGCCATAAGTTACTACACCCACAGCCACTATCAGGTTTACCCTGAGTGTGCGCTCATTCTATTGACTTAATAGCCTCCATCTTTTTTATCGGATTGTTTAATCCTCACTAATATAATGGAGGGAACTTCCGTACTTTCAAAATTCAGGTAGGATGAATGACATTTTTTCCTAGGAATATCTCTCTTTCTCTTTCTTGCCTCCTCAATCTCTGTCTTCCTCCACTTTTCCCTCCTTCCATTCTCTCTCTTGCTCACTCTCTCTCTTTCTCTCTCTCTTTCTGCCACTCTTATTTCTGGTCAAAACTGAAAACAGATTCTCTATTAAACAGAAACACAGATACTCATTAATGTTGAATCCTAGTAACTAACAAACTCTAATAGTTTTAAATGACGTTTCTATCTTAAATTTTCTAAGACTAATTTTATATAAGCAAAAATACCCCTCTCAGTGGATTTTACTGATAGAAAACTTGGATAGTCATCAGAAGAAATTAAATATAGCATTATGGAGCCCAACATAGTCCTAATGAATCATGTCAGTAAGATGACTCTTTAGAATCTTTGAATTTAAAAAATAATCTTTAATTCTCATAAATATCCAACCTTGGAATCCATTCGCCAAAATGATGTTGAAATGGTGTTGATTCCAAGTTTACTGTGTGCAATATGTAAGTTTGAACTTACTTGTATTTATAGAATATTGATCATATTTTGTCCGTGTTATTCCAAATTACTGTAAATGTGTTCATTTTTTTTAAGATTTATTTTTTTAATTTATTTATACAAGTGCTGGGTACAGTCAGAAGCATGGGAGGGTGAGAGAATTCACCAGAGCCAGAGTAGGGAACGGAACAGGCAAACTAACGAAATACACTGCTGAGGGGAGCAGCATGTGCTGCAGAAGAGGTCTGTCATGCCATGTGGGACCCTTGCCGGGGGAACAAACTGGCACTGCAGAGGCTGCGGGCAGCTTTGCAGCCCAGCGCTCAACCGCTGCACCACCAGGGGAGGCCCTGTGCTCATCTTTTTGAGGTAACTTGGATTATAACTTATAAGTGTAAACTTTAGCATAATCACCTCAAGTACCATCCATAATGTTGCAAAATGCAAGATTTCAACTTTTTAAACAGCTGCGTAATATTCCATTGAGTGTATATCACATATTGTTTATCAAGTCATCCTTCAGAGGGCATATAGTTTCTTTCATGGCTAAATTACCCTTCAAAAGACTCAAATATTTTTATGACATTTTAATTATTTGATTGTCAAAATGTTCTCTTGGCAACTACTATTTTCTCAGCCAATTTTGTCCTAGCTAAACAGGACAATATTTACCTGGCTAAACACACACACACACACACACACACACACACACATTTCATTCATTTATTTTACGCTAAGAATTAGTGATTTTTTTTTTTTTTGTTTTTTCAACTCTATTACACATTTACTGGGTAATAGTTTAGCACTGCACTTTAGCAGCTGTTCTGCATCTTATTATTGGATTCATTAAATCTTGACATTGCCAGTTTTACTTTGTCATCCATTTGTTCTGCTTGTCTTGTACTGTTATAGGCACCCAACATTTCACAAATCACTGACCATATATATAAACACTCAGGAAAAAGGGAATTTGAATTCAGACTAACTTTGTAAGTGGCCAATTAACTAATGATTTATGCTGTGTCGTGATTATTTTGCTTCTTAGCTTGCTTTATAACCATGTGGACACGGAAAATGAATATTGAGAAATTAGAACCACTTGTAAATGATTTCTGGCATACCCTATTCCTCTTAGCTATTCTCCTGAGGAGAATCTGATCCTTTTCCAAGATGCCTTGTGCCAACAATTACGGCATAGCTCATGTAAGACAGTGCTGCATGGATTAGAACCTAGATGAAGACCAGCACCCTATGTAATTTGCATATGGACTTTTAGGTGAAATGGCTGCAGTAGCTTAGGCAAGTCCTAGTAAAACTCCGATCTCATGCAAGAGAAAGGAATAAAGGCCAACAAAAATAAATGACAGAGTGGTATCAAAGCGCCAACTTAAATATCATTGCATTTCATCTTCAAAAGAAAAGTTGTAAGGCCTCCCGGGTGGCTCAAGAGGTTAAGGCGTAGCACTAAGAAGCTATCCACAGCCACTGCAGCACAAGTTAGATCCCTCACTGGGGAAGTGACCCACATGGTGCAGCAGACCTCTCCTGCCTCGCCTGCCCCTCCCCTCAGCAGTGTATTTAAGTCGTTCTGCCTGTTCTTTTCCCCACTCTGTCTCTGGTGAATCCTCTCACCCACCGCATCTCTGGCCTGTACCCCAGCTCTTGTATGCATATATAAATAATTTTTTTTTTTAAAAAAAAGAAAAGT